CCCTTACTTCTTCACTTCTGACTTCCATGGGTCCTCTCTTGAGTCTGGTCAGCAACGCCATTCTCTTGGCTGGGAAAGCAGGGCCTGGATTTCTGCCATGCAGGTACCCTTGCCATATTCCCCCAAAGAGGAATCCATCTTTATCCTCTCCTTTCTCCCTTGGGCCCTTCTTTATGCTCTTCTATCTGCATTGTTAAAATTCCCATCTCTATCTTGGCCATAGTCGGCAGGTATTGTTTACTAGGGTTTAAGAACCAAAGAGTACCATATAACAAAGTACCACAGACTAGGTGTCTTAAATAACAAAAATTTATTTTCTCAAGAATTGTAACATCAAGGTGTTCACAGGGTTGGTTTGTTTCCAAGGCCCCTTTCCTTAGCTTATAGGCCATTTTCCCTGCCCTGTGTCTTTATATGTTTTCCCCTCTGTATCCAAATCTCCCCTTCTCTCTCTTTTTTTTTTCAAAAAGTCTAAAAAGATATATTTTTTATATTACATCTGTATGAATATATCTGAAAGTTATGGACTGAGCATACAATCATAATTCCTCCCATGATTTCCCCTTCTCTCTCTATCTCTCTTTATTTTATTTTTTAAAGAGATGGGTTCTAGCTATATCACCCAGGCTGGCCTCAAACTCCTGCGTCCAAGCGATCCTCTTGCCTCAGCCTCCCCAGTAGCTGTGACAATAAGGCAGGCTACTGTGCCCAGCAATACCCACCACTCTTTTTTGTAGTAATGGAAACCCAAGACCTTGTGCATAGGAGGCAAGCACTCTACCAATGAACAACATCCACAGCTCTTCCAATAGCCCCCTTCCTTTTATGAGAAAGGGTTTCTCTGACTTGTCCAGACTGTCCTAAAAAAATTATAATCCTCCTGCCACAACCTCCAGAGTAGCTGGGATTATAGGCATGTGCCACCATGCCTGGCTGATTCTTCTTTCATTTTGGTACCAGGGATTGAACTCAGGGGCACTCAACCACTGAGCTACATCCCCAGCCCTATTTTATATTTTATGTAGAGACAAGGTCTCACTGAGTTAGTTGCTTAGTGCCTCACTGTTGCTGAGGCTGGCTTTGAACTTGCAATCCTTTTGACTCAGAGCTGGGGGCATTACAGGCGTGTGGCACTGTGTCCAACTAATCTCTTCTTATAAGACCAGTCATAGAGAATCAGGGTCCACATCAGTGAACTCATTTCATTTTAATTACTGTTTAAAGACCCTGTCTCCAAATATACTAATATTCTGTGGTGGGAAGGGTTAGGATTTCAACATATGAATTTGGGGGAGACATGATTAGCCCATAGCAGCAGGAGTGGTACAGGGGTGGTGTGGGGAGCTCAGGCCTTTTATGCTGGCGTCAGGGTTGGAGACCTTTAGAGAAGGATGCAGAAGGCAGACACCCTGAAGGCAGGAGGGGACAATTTAGAATCACCTTCTGAGGTTCTGTCCCCTCAGCACCTCCAAGTCATAGGCCCTTGGGCTAAGGAAATCAGAAGAAGGTAGCCCTAAAAGAAGCCAAGCCTCAGATAAACCAAAAGTTTAATAAAAATGAAAAATATTACAGCACAGTGGGCTGACAATGGTTGTTCTAGAAGGTCTAGTATGTTGGTCACTCTGGTATGCTGATTCCAGTGGGTTCTAGGAGGTCACGGATTGGTCCCTCATATTCCAAGATTCTCTTCACTGTTCCCTTAGTGGGAGGTCTCTGTCTTCCTGGTGTGATTTCTGACCAGGCTGGTTCTGAACTCCCTCACCCTGTGAGGAGAGCTGCCTGAGTCTGACCTTCATGCCGGGATGAAGATGATGTTTTACATCATTTCCCGAAGTTCACACCCCTGCCCAGATTCTGAGATTGGCAGACAGATAAAAGCCAGTTTCATGAAGAATTAAGAGTTTTGGAAGTGCTGGAGCCTCCTCCACAGGAGAGAGCCAGAACTCCCAGGGTCTCCTGGCTCCCCTGCAAATTTTTCTGAATCCTGCAGGCCCCTCTCTTGCAAAGTGCTCAGGAATGTGGAACGCCTGGCTGCTGGTGATGAGCTGGGTCCAAGAGTCTGCACAGAAGGGAGCCCCGCTGGGCCTGGACCTCCCTGGCAGCCACTGCAAGTCCAGCCAAGTTAGGAGGTACTGCTCCTCCTCCTAGGGTGGAGGGCTTTCCTCTTGGTGATGTCCTCCTCAGTGTCACTCTCACAATTCCTCTGGGGAAAAAAAAAAAAAAGAAGGCCAGAGCAGGGGGTTATGGGATGCCAGGAAGCGGGTTGGGCTGGGCAGCCTAAGTTGATATACCTCAGCTGGGGCATATCCAGAGACCAGTGGAAGGGAGGGGTCTGGTGGGGGGCTTAAAATGAGGCCAGACTAACAAACTTGAGGCCTCCTTGGAGGCAGGAAAGCAGGTAGGGCATCTAAGGGAAACCAGGCACCAAAAGACACCCACCATAATAATGAAAATTAGATCTGGTGCCCTTTGTGGCCACACATAAGGATAAGTTGTCTGTGGGCTGCTGAGTCTCTGCTCAGTCTAGAGAGAGAGGTAAGCTATAGGTTCCCCCCCAAGCTCCAACAGCCACCATTCCAACCCCTCCACCTTGACTCACTTCCACTGCACCTTCAGCAAGCCTTGCCCTGCAGCTCTTCCAATGAAATGACTTCTGAAAAGCTCATTTTTATGAACAAGGAAAGAAGTAGACAATACAGTCTGTCCATCCCAACATGGCTAAAGCAGAGCCCAGGTAACTACCCAGAGGGCATGATGTCTTTCTGTTCAGCTCACACCAACTAATATAATTATTAAAATTATTAGGGGCTGGGGTTGTGGCTCAGTAGTAGAGCACTCGTCTGGCATTTGCAAGGCACGGGGTTTGATCCTCAGTACCACATAAAAATAAATAAGTAAATGTCCAACTACAACTAAAATTTTTTTTTAATTATTAAAAGAAGAACTAGGGCTGGGGTTGTGGCTCAGCGGTAGAGCACTTGCCTAGCACGTGCAAGGTCCTGGGTTCGATCCTCAGTACCACATAAAAATAAATAAACAAAAGAAAGATTAAAAACAAAAAAGAACTAATTCAGACTTCATAAAGTCATCTTAAAAAAATTTAAAAATTGTGGGGCTGGGGATGTGGCTCAAGCAGTAGCGTGCTCGCCTGGCATGCGTGTGGCCCAGGTTCGATCCTCAGCACCACATACAAAGATGTTGTGTCCGCCAAAAACTAAAAAATAAATATTAAAAAATTCTCTCTCTCTCTCTCTCTCTCTCTCGCTCGCTCTCTCTCTCTCTCCCTCTTCCTCTCTCTTTAAAAAAAAATTAAAAATTGTTAGATGTTCAATTTCAATATTCCCCAAACAAAAGGGCCCTATCATTACCTTTTTTTTAAGAAAAGTCCCTTTGTAAAAACTATGTCTGTTTGGGACTCAACACTTTTCCACTTGTAGAATGAGCCGCGGAGCTAATAATGCTGAGTGTTTGAATAAAAAGAAAACTATCTTCAAGTGTTTGTGCTAGGACAAAAATTAGGAAAAGAATGTATGTTCTTCACCATTACTCTCTGGTCCTCTCTCTCCACACACATGGCAATGGGGTCAGAGCTCATGAAAGGCATGTCTGCTCCCTGTCATGCACCCTCCCAGGCTGGCCTGAGCCAGCAGGAAATCCAAGGGCAAGGTTAACTTCAGCCAAATACATCCTGGACCAAGTCTTGCCATTATAATAAAAATAACTCAAGCTCTGCTGACCAGCAACTTTTTATACCATGAATCAGAGCCAAACAACAAAAAAGTAAGCTGGGTAAAGTCTGCATGTGATTGACAGGTATGCTCAGAGGGAGAGTGGTCCAGTCCCCTTTATAGCAGGTCAGGGAAGCAGACAGAAAAGGGATACAACTTGGCCAATGCCTTGTAGGCTTCTGGAGTCATAAATCCTCAAGTCTTGGCAAGAGCAGGAATAAACCAGAGCTCAGGCTGAAGAAAGAGAACTCCGGGATACATGGGGGGAATAGGAAGTACGGGAAGTGCTGGGTCCTGGGATGTGCCTAAGTGCTGTGTATCTTGAGGCTGCTCAGGTGTCTCAGACAGTTGATTCTCTGTCCCTTCTTTAACAAGGAGTCACCTTCTGTCCTGGCCTGTACCAACTCAGACCCTCCTGGGTGGCCCCCTTCACCTTCGCAGTGGGGGAGCTGCCAGGGAATCCCTACAGACTGAAATACTGACATTAGTGTTGTATTTTAAAGTCTATAAGAGGATTTTAAACAATAGTAATAATTGCTCTCATGTATTGAACACTTACATGCCAAATTTCAGGGACAGGTCACTACAACCCCATATTTATTCTATGAGGTAGGAACTATTATTTAATTCATTTCACAAATGATGACATTTTGGCATAGAGAGATTAAGTAATTTCCTTAAGATCACTTAGCTAGTAAGTGGCAGATTTGAATCCTGGCAGTCTGGCTCTAGAGGCTCTAGAGGCTATTCTCTTCAGCATATCCCATTATAAGATGCACAAAACTATAACAAGTATAAGAAACCATCCTAATATTATTATTGATAATGGTAATCTAAAGCAAGCTAGAAATGGGAGGATTTAAAAGAGGATGTAAAATTCCCATTCTAAAGTAGATTTTTGGATCATCAGAAATAAATTTTGGATGGTCTCTGGTATTCATTCTCCAGAGTCCCCACCATCCTCTGAGGACTATAAGTCTTCAGGGCGGTTCTGGAGGGATGGGGAGGGAGTGGGAGCAGCAATCTCTTCAAAGATGGAGCAGGAAAGAATTTAAGATTCTCCAAAAGTTCATGCTGCACCAGCCAGAGGCCCCTCAAACATATACCTCTGCTGATTACACACTAGCTCCAGGGCAGAGGAGCACAGGGCCAGCAGAAAAGACTGGAAATAACTAGCACTCACCTGCCTCAACAGGGGAGAGAAGGTCCCCCTACTTCCAAGCTTCACACCACCCCCAGAATTCTGCCCCAAAGGGTCCTGCATTTACCCACCAGGTCCTCATTTGGCCTCAGGTGCACCTTCTTCATCAGGGAGCGAGTGAGGTGATTGCACAAGGACACGATGCTGAAGGACAGCTGAGGGAGGGAGGGAGAGAAAACAGATGCCAGGTGAGAATGTGCTCAGGGACCCTGAAGAGCGGCAGGGTGCCTGGCTGGCCCTCTCCCCCAACCACGCCAAACCACACACACCTTCCACCTCCTGCGGACATACTGCTTCTTGAAGTTCTCCAGGTTGACCAGGGACTCCCTGCGCACCATGGCTTGCTGGTTGTCCACCGGCTACAGGACAAAGCAGAGCATGATGGTGTCAATGGGCGTCAGACAGCAGCTGCCCACCTCCCTGCAGAACCCTAGCCACATGCTGTCCTCAACCTGCCCCAATACCTCCCTGCCAGGCAGGGTGTGCAGTGGGAGCGGTACAGTGAGGCAATGGCTACAGATGTCTCAGCTGCTCAGGAGATGGATGTCCCTGAGCTATTATTGCTACAACCAGATACACAAGCCAGTGTGGCTGGAGGCCCAGCTTCTCCTGAAGTGGGAGAGCAGGAGGCAGGGGCTTTGATCACACATCACTTTGGGGACAGGGTCATTTTCTGGCAATCTGGGATGCTCCCTGTATGCTGGACTGGCTCTGGGTTTAGCAAAATGGATGGCTTGTTGGCAAACAGAGCATTAATACATCTTTAGAAAATAAATGGAAGGAAATAGGGGCTTTGGTGGGAGTCAGGTGGAGACAGATGTGTAACTGCCCTTCATTGCCTAGCAGTCGAGGCTTAGCTTAAATCTCAGCTTCTCTAAGAAGCCTGATATGGCTTCTCTGAGCCTCAGTTTTCCTATCTGAAATGGGGGATAATAACGTGTCACAGGGTTGTTGAGGCTTACATAAAGAATTTAACCTAGCACCACTCAATAAACAGTAACAAGTTATGTCCATCTCCTCTCAAATCCCTTCCCCCACTTTTTTGACACTAGGGATTGAACTCAGGGGTGTTTAACCAGCTCATCGCCAGCCATTTTTAAATATTTTATTTAGAGACAGGGCCTCACTAAGTTGCTGAGGCTGACTTTGAACTTGTGATCCTCCTGCCTCAGCCTCCCCAGCCACTGTGCTTACAGGTGTGCACCACCTTTCCCAGTTCCCTCTTTTTATTAAATGAGGCTTTCCTAAGTCATGAGATAGGTTTTGGGAGTTCTGTGAATCTCTGAAACGGTTTGCAAATTTTCGTGTGTGAATGTGTATGTGAGTGTTCATAGCAAGCTAGTCATAAGAGCTAAGTAGAAAAAACCCAGATGTGCATCAACTGATGAACAGATAAAGAAAATGTGGTATCCATACATGAAATATTATTCAGGAATATTATACATGAAAACAAATAGAGTATTGATACAAACTACAGCATGAATGAATCTTGAAAACATTAAATGGAAGAAGCCAGCACAAAAGACCACATATTGTGTGATTCCATTTATATAAAATGTGCCAGAATAGGCAAAACCAGAGACAGGAAGTAGATCAAGTTGCTAGGGGCTGGGAAAAGGAGAGAATGGGGGATGACTACAAAGGGTATGGGGTTTCTTTCTGGGATAATGAAAATGTTCTGGAGTAAGAAAGCAACGGTGGTTGTATAACCTTGTAAATGTACTAAAAAGCATTGGATTGTATGTTTTAAAATGGCAACTTTTATGGGTTATAAATTATACCTCAATAAAAAACCAATTTAGTGTGTCTGCATAGACAAGCATTTCTTCTGAGTCGATAGCTTTCATAGATTCTCAAAGGACCCCATGACCTCAAGAAAACGAGCTGCCCGGGATGACCCCTAAGGTCCTGTGCAGCTTTTTTCCCTCTACTCTGACAACCTGCTCACTGCAAGGCCATATTTGGTCCTGATGAATGCTAAGGGTGGGTAGTTCACTGACTCCCTAAGGCTGGTCTTGTCTCTTAACCACACTGAGAGCACATTTCCATTCTTGTTCATCTTTCATCATAGCATCAGGAACCAGAAGAAAGCCAATGCACACTGTGGGCCTGGGCTGCTCTGGACTTGCATATGGCAGGGGACCCGTTGCAGGGCCTTTCTCTAAAGCCCCCAGAAGGCCTCCAAGTGTTCCAAATTCTAATGCAAGTGCCACCTGCTTCCTGGAGCACTTCCAAGAAATAATGTCTCCCTCCCAGGCCTGACCAAAGCACCTGCGTGCTCTATTCCTATGTGCAGCAGCTATCTCTGACAGCTCTGTAGTAGAGGAATCCCACCACTGGAAAGCAACCCCAGAGCACAGAAACTTTTCCATGTCTATGTCAAAGCCTCCAGCCCCTCTCTCCTCTCTGCCCAGAGAGGTAGCTGCCTGGTTATTTCCCTGAGCTGCTCAAGAGATAAATTGGAATAAATTGCAGGACCTGAGACCTACTCATTTCATCAGTGAGAGGCCCAGGTCACCCTCTCAGTACACTGCAAGGGTGTCACGAGTCTGTCAGTGAGATGCAGAGTTCTGTGGGGGTCAAGGAGCAGGGACAGAGTTTTAGCAACCCTGAAGTAGATGGGAGGTGGGAAGGCCAGGGGCTGCTGACCTTCCCAAATGAGCACACAGTGGTTTGGGCAAAGAGTGCAGGAAAAAGAGGAGGGGAAGGAAGAGACAGGAAAAGGGAAGAGAAAAGGATGAGGACACAGAGGGATCACCAGGCCACGCCCAGCTCTCCTGGACCCTTTCCTTAACTACCTGCCACATCTGCAGGTCCAGCCTGGGTCCAGGTCCCACCAGGAAGGGAGGCACAAAAGCAGGCAGAGGACTTTCCTTTGCAACCACAAGAATGGGATTCTAATAAGGAAAGGGTTGTAATACACTCTACTGTCATATCCACATAAAAAGAAAAAAAAAAAGAAAAGCAGGCAGAGGGCAGCCCACCTGTGCTGACAACCTGCCTGTCCCTCTGCTCCAAGCCTTCCTGTGGCTTTCCAGTGCTCTCCGTATAACCCAACATTCTCCTGGAGACTCCTAGGCCAGCATATGCCTCCTCCGCCACACAGGTTGGCTTGCTGATCCTAAACCCAAGGTCTCAGGGTCGTTGCCCTTGCTCATTCTTACATCACTTTGTCACTTGGGTCAGGTCTTTGTTCAAACATCACTTCCTCAGAGGAGCCTTCCTGATTCCCCCTAGATAAAACAGCTCTTCAGCAGTCCCCCATGACGACTTTGCTTATGCCAGTCTTCTCTATTGTATGTGTCACTGCCTGGCATTTTATTCTGTATTAATTTGGGGATTGTTTTGTGAATCCCACCCTCCTTATTCCTCATGGCTTCTAGAATCTCCTTCCCCCAGATGATTAGCATGCTGCCTCTCACTCCTCAAAACCTTTCTACCTCTAACTTCACTCATGTCTTCAATTCACTCAGCCATGATTTATCCTTTCAGTGGAACCCTGGCAGAGGACGTTTGTCTCTTACAAGGAGAAGTTGATGAGGTGGGGCTAAAAGTTCCAAGAGGGAAGGAACCTCTTTTTGTCCACTTACTGCGGGGTGCCCTCACCCAGGAGAAAAATGGCTGACCTCAGGGCTGGAAGGTCAACACAGGCAAGGGGTCCTGTTAAGGAGAATCCCCCCTTCCTACTGGCCAAGCAGGAAAAGCCACTGAGCAGAGGGGCCCAGATGAAATGTCAGGTGGGACCATTTCCAGGGCCATTAATGAAAAGTGATGCAATTACTTCTAGGTTCCTGTCCATCCATATGCTACAAACAATAGCATCACCCCTGAGGAGATGACCATCCAGGCTATGAGTCTGTCAGGCTTACCTTTCCTAATCAATGGGCCTCCCTGGTTGATAAAAGGCTCAATGCCAGGCTAATGCTATCAGCCCAGCTTGGAAAGTCAGAGACAAATTCTGCAGTGAAATTTGTTCCCAGAAGGAATGTGGCTCGAACACTTTTGACTAAATTGAGAATGTGAGGGGAAGAAGGAGTTATGCCCGCCTTCTCCTGGCCCTTTCCTCCTTGCAAACAGTGAATACCCAACTGTCTTCCAACCTTGTGGCCTATCAGTGTCGTCAGAAGCCTGGGAAATTTCCACCTGGCTCTTGGGGGTATGTTCTGTGTCTTGGGAGGATGTCAGGAAGGGAGACAAGAAGACAGAAAGCAGTGGAGGCTGGAGTCAGATTTTGTTTATACAGATGCAAATGCCTTTGAAAAGTCTAGTGGGCTGTTCTAGGTCTGTGCCCACATCCACAGAGCGTGGAGAGGAAGCAGGAGCCACCAACAAATCATGAAAAAGAGACCCCAGCTTCACAGAAGAGCCATTCCAGACGCTTTTCTCTAAATACCAAGCTTCCTGTAGAAACTGCAAACAGATTGCAACTTCTCAAACCTCCATCTGTACCTTCTCTCCAGCCTCATACTTCATGGAAAACTGGGGCACCCATTTTTCTTTCCTGCCCAGGACACTTTCTGGGCCTCACTACCTCCACCTCCCTCAGTTGCATCTCTCCAGGTAGCACCTCTGCCCCTTCCTTTGTTGGCTACTTTGATGGCTGGAGCCCTGTCCTGGCTGGACTCACCATTGGTTTTCTCAGGAAGGTGCAGGTGAGGCTTGACACCTGGATGTCTGCCTCCTCACTGGGTAGGGTAGGGAGAGCTGAAGGCAATAGGAGGAGGTGGCAATGCCCCTTTCCTTGCCTGGCCTGACTTTTCTGAGTTAGGTTTCAGCTTGAATACATGGAGACTCTTAATCCTCTTCTCCAGGACCTTCAGTTTTCTTGAGCAATTGTTCAACTCCAGCAAAAGCTTCCAAAGCTCTCCCTCCTGTACTGTCATATATATATATATGACATACAACATCTTTATTTCATTTTTATGTGGTGCTGAGGGTAAACCTGGTGCCTCAAGCATGCTAGGTGAGCACTCTACCACTGAGCCACAACCCCAGCCCCTGGACTGTCAGGAAGGGGCTGACTTGAAAGACGTCAACCAAATGCTATGTGTGAACTGTGTTTGAATTCTGATGTGAATAAACCAACTGTCGACAGGATACCCTTGAAAAATGTGGGACATGTGATTATAGAATAGGTATCCAGATGAGATGGAGGAATTATTGCTGATTTTTCAGGTGTGATAATGGCATGGTGGTTATATAAAAAAAGAAAGTCCTACTGGGTTTAGTGGCATACAACTGTAATTCCAGCTACTCTGGAAGCTGAGGCAGGTGGATCCCAAGCGTGAGAACCAAACTAGACAACTTAGCAAAATCCTAACTCAAAATAAAATTAAAAGGGCTAGGGATGTAGCTCAGG